GTAAGACTAAGATCTCAAAGTTTGAGATGACTACTACGTGCCAAATTTGATAATGTATGAAAAGAAGATATATACTTGACTTTTAGGAGATTTAAGTTTGGGTCACAGTTCGACTTAGAAAGATAGCTCTGTTCGTCCGTTCTATCCCCCCCCGGTCGACGTTTTTGGGAGGTGAGTGTCCGACACTACCACCTTCACTTTTGGCCCGGCCAGTGGTAGCTGGGACCACCTTCACTTCTGATGTGCCCGGCTCCCCCCATCGCACCTCTGCTTGGGACTGGGCTGGCAACTAGGAAGACTGCATCAATATTTTTTGGGCGCTGAGCAGAACATTTATTGATTCCTTATTCTTTATCCGTATGAGCTAGGTAAAGGTTCGAGCCGATGAAGCAGGCACTTATGGTTTCGACATGGTTCGGAACCATTTTGAGGTGTAAAAGTAAAGTATAAATCTCCTTTTCAAACATTATTAGGTTTGGCGCATAGTAATCACCCCAGACTTTGAGGTCTTAGTCTTACATGAAAGTTTAAACCCCAAAGGCTGCATCGTTGAGCGAGAAAAGAGCTGTAATTGAGGTGTTCGTATAAATATGAACCAGTCAAGAAAGCGTTCGGCGCACAATGCTTTTCCAAAATTGACATTGAATTTCATCTTTATGCTGCGTACACTGTTGTCGTCTGCGTTCTTTCACCTGGTACCAATGGTTTCTTGCGTTTCTTTCAAGAAGTGCGGGAAAAGGCAATATATGGGGTGTTCGTATAATTATAAAGCGATCTTTATTACTCAGAGCTAAGAAGACGAATCAGGCTCAAATCCTTTCATCATCCTATGAAATCTACGAGCTCTAGGCTATCGATTCAAACAAATATCGTCGCTGAAAAGTTATTGATATAGTTAATGGGGTGTGACACCACCCCTAAGAAGCTGTGGCTGCCACAGCTTTTTAGGGGTGTGCCACACCCCATTAACTTACCTTCAAACAGATCAAACAGCTGCGTTTTTTATATTTTTTATATATATTTTTTCTCATTTACTTAGCAGACATATGAAAACGTTCCTTTAACAGCAAGATATAATCGTTTTTCCTCACCTATGCAAATGTAAAATCCTGGTAAAATGCTGCGAAAATACTGAGATACGGTGACATGCCAAGTCTGCGCTACCACGTGAGTCGCAAGGGAATGCGACAAGAATGTATACATTTGATAGCCTAAGACTCGTAATCTATGTTAAAGTGAGTTTGATTGGTCTCCTCAGCCCGAGATATTGAAAACGAAAAATTGTACAAACAAATTTTGGCTTGCTCTTAATTTCTTAATTTGGAGTTCATTTGAAGTAGGATTCTTAAAGTGAGCAAAGAATTACTAGTTCTTTGTATTAAGCGCAAAAAAAATTTAGTTAACTCACCTTTGAAATAAAGCAACATGTTTGAAAACAACCATCTCACTTAGGTGGTCCTGTATTTGGAAACCTCAGAGTTCGCTGAAACTTGGACCACAAAGGTCATTTTACTTGCTAATCACAAAATGATGCTCTTATGCTTTATAGATCTGATTATGCTTACTTATTTGTACGTATACGATAATGGATCAAATGTCAATGTGCTAGTATTTTGCATGACGGGCCTATTTGACATTGTTAACGAACATCATGTTATGCGAACAGCGTACGCCTTCATAACGACCCCCCCCCCAGGTGGCATGCCACACCCTACGCTTGACCCTGCTTGTTTGTACATTTTTGACGGTAGATTTTCTTGTTCATTGTAATCAATGACTTCGTGATAATAGCATCGTGGCCAACTGTCAAACGTCAAGGTGATCGGTGAGTCTTCGTATGAGAAGTCCCCCCCCCCTCCCCCCGTTCCCTCTTAGGGCCGCATGCACTAATATCCCCGCGGGGAGGGGATCGCAGCTTCAGAAAAAAGCTTCATATCCTGAAGCTCCGGATATCTGGATTTCACGCTGTCTACCTATCCGTAAGTATTCCTACTACCCTTCACTATGAACATGTTGAACAGGAGCGAGAAGCTGTACAAACCGCATTTTCCAGCTTTTGTATGATCCCTGATGATCCCCGGAGCTTTTCTTTAAAGTCATTTTTCTTTCTCCGAAGTTAACGAAAACCTTCCAAAGTTGTACTGAACATCTAACACAATACTGCTAAGCATGTTGCTGATGAGAACAAATGAGTTTTTGAATAGTCGAGTTTTCGGTAAGCCTCAAATTTCGACCTGTGGATCATCGCAAATTTCATGACTTCAAAACATCATTTGTTCTTAGCAGCAACATGCTTAGCACTGTCGGGTTAGACAATCTGTACAACTCTGGAGATTCTTCGTTAACTTCGGAGAAAGAAAAATGACTTTGAAGAATAGCGCCAGGGATCATCAGGGATCATACAAAAGCTGGAAAATGCGGTTCGTATAGCTTCTCGCTCCTCTTCAACATGTTCATAGTGAAGGGTAGTAGGAATACTTACGGATAGTTACACAACGTGAAATCCAGGTATCTGGAGTTTCGAAATATAAAGCTTTCTTTTAAGCTGCGATCCCCTCCCCGCGGGGATGTTAGTGCATGCGGCCCTTAGTGGAGAATCCGACTCACGTGAGTCGAGAGGTGACAAGGAGGTGTGGGATAGATGCGAAGACTAGGTGCGGAGTCCCCGTACATACGAAGAGTCCCCCCCCCCCTATCCGTTCTCCGCCATAGTGTTGACGCTGCTCTCTCATTGAAGGGAAAGAAAAATGAATTATGTGAATAAAAATGGATACTACAGGCTTTGAAGTTAGCTTGTTGAGATATACGGTTCTCTCTGTCGTCAACCAGTACATGGTCGAACTACGGTGTAACTTGGCAATTGGAGACTCAGATTTAGAAGATGGCATACGCACATGACAAACAAATTCTCATCGTAAAAACAGAAACAGTTTCAGATGTTTTGAAATGAGATTAAAAATCTGCAGCGGTTGACGTTCGCTATCAGGTTCTATTTCAAAAGAACAACACTAATCTTATCGATTGGGACTTGCTGGCTCATGTCTACGCATTTGTGGAAGATATCAATTATCTAATCAGGAGAGGGCTCTTCATCGAATTTTTTACCTTACCTTACATATCAACATAAGTGTCCGCTTCGTAACGCATGTACTTGAGTTTACAGTCAGGCAAAAGTTCGATCGAAAAGAACAGTGTACTTCGGCAAACGTTCTTTTACCAAGTACGTCCTAGACTCAATCGGCTTCAATTATCTCATAATTCTTTGTTGGTGGGTTTAAAATGAAAAAGCCATTGCGAAAAGAGGAAGAGCGCGCTTGCTGACAACGGACAGGAGGCATCCGATTAGTGGAGTGCTGCTCGTTGTCTAGCTTGGGCACCCTAGATGATACATTCACAGGTTGAGCGTTCGTCTTCAACAGCAGTAACCAACAATAACAACAACATCAACCCGATTTCAAATCCAAAATAGATATAAAAACATTCTTGATATCTAGTAGATGATTTGAAATTCGCAGGTTCTAACGTAAAATGCAAAAATTTACATTTTCTTATTAGCCTAAGCTGTATTGTAGTCATAAAAATCAAAATACTTCTATCTTAATCTTATATATAAAGCTGAATGTCTGTTTGTCTGTATGTCTGTATGTATGTATGTATGTATGTATGTATGTACGTATGTTCCGAATAGAAAATTCCATTTCTGAACCGATCCGGACCAAACTTGGCACACACGCACTTCGGGCCCCGGCGGGTGTCATAGGCTACTTTTCGTCATCGATCGATATCGATTTTATCGATATTTATCGATTTTTTTGCTGAGTTCACCTACGGGGCTGGGAGTTGGCACAGGGGGGTAATCGAGCATGGGGATTCCGAATACAATATTGGTTTTCAGGATTATCGATTACTTTTATCGATTTTATCGATTTTTTTGCAAAGTTTGAGCTACGGGGCTGGGAGTTGGCACAGGGGGGTAATCGAGCATGGGGATTCCGAATACAATATTGGTTTTCAGGATTATCGATTACTTTTATCGATTTTATCGATTTTTTTGCAAATTTGAGCTACGGGGCTGGGAGTTCGCACAGGGGGGTAATCGAGCATGGGGATTCCGAATACAATATTGGTTTTCGGGATTATCGATTACTTTTATCGATTTTATCGATTTTTTTGCAAAGTTTGAGCTAGGGGGCTGGGAGTTGGCACAGGGGGGTAATCGAGCATGCTGATCATCCCCAAGGGGGGTGATCAGCATGCTCGATTACACCCCTGTGCCAAATTCCAGCCCCCTAGCTCAAAATTTCAAAAAATCGAAAAAATCGATAAAAGTAATGGACGATCTTGAAAACTAATATTGTATTCGTAATCTGCATGCTCGATTACCCCCTGTGCAAACTCCCAGCCCCGCAGGTCAAACTTTACAAAAAAATCGATAAAATCGATAAAAGTAATGGACGATTCTGAAAACTAATATTGTGTTCGTAATCAGCATGCTCGATTACCCCCTGTGCAAAATCCCAGCCTCGCATGTCAAAATTTACAAAAAATCGGTAAAACCAATAAAAGTAATCGATAATTCTGAAAACTAATATTGTATTCGGAATCCCCATGCTCACTTCCCCCCTGTGCCAACTCCTAGCCCTGTAAGTGAACTCTGCAAAAAAATCGATAAAAATCGGTAAAATCGACATCGATCGATAACGAAAAGTGGACTGTGACACCCGCCGGGGTCCGAGGTGTATGTGTGCCAAGTTTGGTCCGGATACGGCGGAGCCGGGTAAGCCAGCTAGTTATAAACAAAAAGGAATTGTTCATACACTATGATTATATGTTCCCAAACTTATACGCAGATTGGAACGCAAGCATGTGTACACAATCTATTAGGCCAGTTTCAGATATTTGGAACTTGAAGGACACAGGTTCAAAAGCGGTAGTAATCGCAAACAATGACAGTGATTACTTCTTCCACTTTATGATGATAAAATAAACAAGAAGCTAACCTCGATAAACAGAAGATCACGAATTTCCCACAAATTGTCTTCATTGACTGTTTGGTTACAATTCTCGGTCAGTTTCTTGAACATGTTCACCACCTACAACATAACTTGTTATCGCATTGAAATTGAATAGCCAATAACACAAGTTTTTCTGAAAGCTCACCTTTCTGATTTGTTTTTAAAACTTTTCAACACTTCCCTCTTTTATTCTTCTTTTTCCTTCTATCTCTCTAAGTTAGCCCCTTGCCTCAATTTCGGTAAAGTGCACCTTCAAGCAATCGTATTTTTAGCTTGCCTCCTCTGTACAGGGTGCGTCAAAAAGTGCACACTGTTTGCTTTGCTCTGCTTCGTTCAACACTGCTTCTTTGTCTTTCGCTAATCATTTGGTACTATTTTGCAAAACCAACTTTGAGTTGCGGAAATAGGATACCTAGTGACCATTGCTTTTTGGTCTGTAATATATGTCAGAGAGTTGCCCTTGTACGGATCTGAGATGTGTTGTTATTTGCGAACCGATTCTTCTGAGACTTGTGAGTTACTTTTATTTCATGTTATTAGTAATGAGCAGGTCTTCTTCGCATTTGACGTGTTTGTAAAGGAGTACCAGTACTTTCGAAAGGTGCTAGTGGTAGCAATGGCCAAGTGGTTAGTGTATTGGAATACTACCCGAAGGATAGCGGGTTGTTCTTGGTTGGGATATTTCTGAGGCTTGTTTTTGACAAAGGCTGTTTCTATCTAGAAATTCGTTCCCAGATAACGAACATAGTTACAGTCTGCCCCAATCGGGATCAGGCCGAACCGTCGGCTGAATTTGCGCGCTCGCAGCGCTAGGGGTTTGCGCTGCATACGCGCGCTGTCGCAGAGAGCGAAGAGATTGAGGAGAGAGCAGACTAGCTAGACGCAGAAGTGGCGCGAAACCCTCGCGACGCGCACTCCCGCCAAGCCAATTTTGGCCTGGTTAGGATTGGGGCAGACTGTAGCCTTCTAGGGGTTAGGTTAGCCTTCCAAGGGTCATTTGATGTAGAAAGGTTTTGGAAAGCGCAGACACTAAGCAACTCTCCTTTTTATAGATTTACAGAAAGGAGCAGGCACCGATTGTTTTTCTTTACTATAGGATTACGGTAAGAACCTAGAAAAGCGTTTTAAGCGTCTAAAAGTAGTATCCGGGCCAAGTTCGGGTATGTGGAATTTCAGCTTAATGCGAAAGTGGACGCCTCGGACACGTTTCCCATGAGTGCGAAGCCACATCGGACCAGAGAAGAAAAAGGAGTTCGGCGAGTTGGAAAACTTTCGCCTTAAAAGAAACGCCTTACTTGGTATCTTTATATTGCAAGCCGAATGTGCATGCCGCCACAGTGAAGTAGGGTTTTTCAGTGACTTTGAGTTTCAGTGTCGGCTTTGGGAAAAAGCCGGTATCTGAATTGAAGCAAGCCCTACAGAATGGTGCTTGCAAAGAGAGAAATAGTCAGTGCTACAGATGAATTGAAGAACAAACATGTCATATTTTTAGGACAGCATGTATGTACCAAAACTTTGTAATGTGCGTGTATGTATTACCATTACGAACGCCAAAGCATAGATTTATTGAGTGCAAATTATAGTTGCGACCGTGGAATTTGTCCGAAAATGCGGGATTTTCGGGATTCGCGATGTTTGCGGGATTCGCGACTTCACGGGATTTGCGGGATTCGCGGGATTTGCGGGACTTGCGGGATTTAGCTATAACTTCTTTTGAATCCACATTATTTGCAATCTGCGTGTAGATTTGGCTTCAGCTTGATGAGACGAATCGTTTGACAATATGTTCGTAATTCGTGGTGAGGGGGTAGACTTACAATGATACCTTGTTGTTCTCTATGTTAAGGCTTTTGTGAACATTTATCACAGCGTAAATCACGAATAGCAGGTTCTGCTACGAAGTTTTCATTATCGAAAACTACCGCGAAGAATTGGGCAGTTTTTATTTACCCTTATCACTGATATAAGCATATCATTTATCAATGATAATATCACATTTTCGGATCATTTTTTGCATATGGTAAGGAAAGTACTGTAGATTAGGCTGTGTGAATTTCTATCGCTCTTTTTCTCATTATAAGTGATCTACAGGCTTTTCTAGTTCTATTGCTCGGTGCAATTGGTAGATCCCTCGCTGCAGCAATCGATCGATTTTTCATCGGCACATGCCATTGCTGCCAATTCTTACCTAGAATGGGATTTTTGCTTCAACTCGCTTCACGCCGAAGCCTTGGCTGAAATTCTGCACCTATATGGAAGATGAGCGTGGAAATCGACCGCATGAATTTAAGCCATTCTTATCTGTCGTTGTCATTGATATCATCATTTAATCATTTATCACTGACGACACAAAATTGGATCATTTTTGATATACAATAAGAAGTACTTTAGAAAACGCTGTGTGAGTTTTTATCGCTCTATCTCTTATAGTACAAAACCACTCATAGAACATGCAAAATTTCCGGGAATTCCGCGAAATTCATGAAAATCACGCAAATTACGCAGGGCCATAACTTCTTTCCGAATGAGTATATTCAAAATCCGAAAACAACGTTGTATTCAGCTCGTCAAGGCGAATCTTTCGATATACAGGTTGTCTCCAATATCTTGTTTTCAATAATCTTGAATTTGCATGCCGACGCCTCTTCGCATGGGTGTAATGCAACAAGCATCATACATAGGAAACTGCCATGGGCACCGTTCGATAGTACTCTTTCACTAGATGATCGTGCGCTAAACAGCAGCCGAACACTCTCTCTCAAAAGAGATAGGAGAGCTGATAAACTCTGGAAAAGTTAAGCTGTTCCAAGTTCTACTAGACCTAACTTTCTTTAGAATGAACATTTTCGAAATCAGAAAGCAGATTTGTGTTCATCTTGTCAAGTCGAATCTTACTGTATACAGCATGTCCTTGAAATTCCGTTTTCAATCTTTTCAAAATTTTCTGCGCGCGTATCACAAGATCGCAACGCAGCGCACATCAAACATAGAAGACTCCAATAAGCACTGTTGGATTGTGTTGCTTTCGCAGATTATCGAGCGTTAAAAAGCAATCTTCTGGAAAAAAGATAGAAGAGCTGGTGAATTCTGGAAAAATTGCGTTGTCTCAAATTTTGCCCACCGTGACCCTAAAACGAGAAGCTCTACTGCTAAGCAGATGTGATTTTCGTAATCAGCAGGTCAAATAACCTCTATGAGCAAGTTTTCAATGAAATTTGGGTGATTTGATTTTTTCTCGTTCTACGCCCTGAAGCTCGCCGATGGGTTTTGGTCAAAATGTCGATGACCTTGGATTGTAAAGAAACTTCGCCCAAAGAGGTTTTCGAACACGCTGTTTACGAAAATAGTGGTCTTTGAAGAAGACAGGGTCTTTTTGTAGAGATATTGTGAGGTGACTGTAACTGAGTCACGAAAGTTCGTAAATTTGCCTGCACTTTTCGCGAATTTGTCAGAAAACTTGCCTGCTTGCTTTTCCAGGTCAAAATCATGGGAACTGTGCTATCAAAAGGTGCATGCTCAGGCTCCAGTCTATAAAGTTCGCCGAGTTACGAGCCTACGAAAACACGTCCTCATGAATTTCGCTCAAAATGTAAAAATCGAGTATTTCGTCGAAATTCCACCCTCAGTGGTTGTATGACATACTGATCAAATCTGTTTACATTGCTCAATGGTCTTAATGTGCTGGATTTGGAAATCATCTTGCTTTGCCTCAATTAAGTTTCTTTTGTAAATTAGGCATCGAGCATCTCCTTTTTCCACTAGAAAACACTGCCATGAGTATTTTTAACAAACGTCTGCAAAACTGTATATAGATCACTTGTTTGCTTTCATCCGTAATTTAATTTCGGATTATAGCTCGATGAGCTGATACTCGGCTTCGGCTGACGACGCTGACAATGATAAAAATACTTACTTTGTCCTGACTCAAATAATCTTTGAATTCTTCCAATTTTTTTGCCATGTTCCATACATGATCGCGACGAGCGCATCGGTCGTCAGCTATGACAACCTAAAGAAAAGATTGTTATTACGTTTCAAAAGTTTGTTATCTCATTACCTATGATGTTTATTAAACAGATGCTTGAGTGTAGTACTGTGTTATAGCTATTTGAGTTTTGTATTATTCCGGTCATAGTTTCGACTTACTACCGGACCACGTGCATTGTAAATTCATGTAAAACTATTCTAACTTTTATTTTATGGTTTGATAATGAATAAAATATTTTTTCGAGACATCTTCTTGCCTCTTCATTTTCATGCAAAGACTTGTGCTATTTGCTGCCTCAAAACGGCAAAGCATTCAAGAAGGGTTCTCACAAACTGCGCCTAGTTGAAGACAATTGATATTGCTCAATTTTGATAGTGGATAACACACGTTCAGTGTCATACGATATGCGGAAATCTTCTGTATAGAAAAATAGGGCAAACAACCTACATAAGTTCAAGCATCGCATGCGTGTTTGCACCAAAATTGTACAGGGCGCTGGACCACGTCCAAATACCTTTCAATCATAATGCACTTATTTGATTTCTTGTAACAGCAGATTCAATAAGACAACAAAATAATTGGCAGTTATTATAATCCACTGGTAATGAGAATCAATTGTCGCAGGTAGATTTCAGGGGGTGCAGTGAGCTCAAGATGGTAAGAAACTGCAAAGTTATTCTCAACAAAGACTGCGGGTCTTTATTTAGATCACCACTACTAAATTTGTACAATCCTGTAAGAAAAGGAAAAGAATGTTGGAGATCAGATGCGTATCGGAATGTTGGTCAGGGTCGTTCGCCAGGAGCTGTATGTATCACATTTTCGCTCGGGGTATGGGTTTTTATGCTGGTCGTTACCCGACCTGGAGGCACTGTATCAGTACGAAGCAGTACGAAGTAGGAACATGATGAGAGTTTTGCTAATCACCAAGAAGGTAAAAGAAAAACGCCTTCCATAGTATAAATGTGGACAGTGAGGAGGAAAGAAAAAGAGTGATGAGTAGATTGGCTACGTCAGTAGACCTGCAGCACAGCCTAAACTGCGTTGGCTAAGCGAATTCACAGCAGACCTGGTACTGAAATAAATGAGCAACTTTCTTGTAAAGAGGAAAGAATGAAAATTGTAGGACAGGAAACCCCATGAACCTAAGAATGCAAGGGCGAATTGTCATATTTGTGAAGTAAAACATTTCGTCCCTTTCAGCAAGTATTTCAGTAGGAATTTACAAATACCTTTATTTTAGGAATTGGTTTAGCATTGTTACCTAGTACAATTAGTAGCATGCGGCTTCTGACGCTCTCAAGTTACTATCAGATTCAAGTGCAAGATTGCTGGAAGGGACGTTCAAGACTTTTAGCACTGGTCAAATTTAATCTAGAAAAAAGCGATATTTGCGAGTTTTATCAATTATGCCCTACAGAAACAATATTTTGTACGCGGAGCAACTAAAAACGTCATTTTCCAGTAAGTTTCATATCAATCTCTTACAATGTCAAGAATACATCTTTTCATGATTTATGGGGTAACTCACGAAAATGTTGAAACTGGAAAAATGGCAGCGGCATGTTGAAACAAACACGACTTTCAAGAGACAGGACTTTGTTAGTAGAATACGAGTATTGTATGTGGAACTGATCGTTCATAAGTTCTCAAGAGTTTGTTTGCATGCATAATCAAATAACTATATCAAATAGTGCTTTTATGTCAAATCTGCACCAATTTTGAGCACTTGATCCTACCTGCGAAAAAGCGCGAGCATCTGGCCGTGATGCATTTTAACATTTTTAGGTGACTGTATCAATCTGTAAAATTTTGACTTGATGGGCGTTTTACGTGGTTCGCGAGCAGCAAATGATGTGCAGCAAAACTAGCCCTACTAATAGTGCAAAAGTGTTATGGAGCAGACTACTTTACACATGATAGTTTTGGTCATACATTCTCAAATTTTCAATCTTCTGACGATGGTAAAGGATCGAACGCGTTCTTAAGCCCATATGCTTCGAAATATCTGCGGCAATAAGAGCGACGTCCCTGATATTTGAAAAAAAAACCGCAGCAGCCTTCCGCTTCCCTTCATGACAGGGGGACGCCGCTTCTCACCGCAGAGATGTTAAGGCTTACGGGGCTTAACGGGACTTTTTAAAGGGGATGAAGAAGATGTTTGACAAAAACATTATCATCACGGAACACATTATCTGAGGAGCTTACGCTGCAAATGATTGAAGAGAAAAGAAACATGATTGAAGAGAAAAGAGTGAAACACAAAGAAAGTTGTGTTCGACGTGCTCAGTAACTTGCTAACAGTGCTAAGCACCATTTGTCAATGAATGCGTCACTCACAAAGAGCTCGAACGTCTCTAATATGCAAACGCCTACGATTCTTGCTTTTTGTGCAAAGTGTGACGCACTGAATCTGCGAGTCTGCTTCATTTTCTACAGGAGCTCTTCGTTTGTGATAACTACAGGGTGCGGCAGAAGTCTGGGCGGACTTTGCAGAGCTGTAAATTGTAAAACTACTGACAATTTTCAAAGTCTGCAAGTTACGCGGCAGAAGTCTAGGCGGACTTTGCAAAGCTGTAAATTGTAAAACTACTGACAATTTTCAAACTCTGCAAGTTACAAGTTAATTTACAAGTTTAGGACACATAATGCTGCGATCTCCCTTTCGCGATACATTATCTAGCTAAAAATGTCCGCCATATGGTTTTGTAAGAATTGGATTTATCAAATGAGTTCTGCATAGCGAGAAAATCAAAAATCTCAATACTCAGATTATTTCGAAGCTAGAGGTACTGTGATATTCTACAGCTATTCTACAACACTTTGATCACACAGTGTAAAAAAAAACTTTGCGCTATCACATCGTAGTAGCTGCTTTTGCCAGAAACTATTCTTTCAAAACTCAAAATAGAATTTTGCAAATAATATTTACGCCAATAGCCATATGTTTTTGAAACAAAGAAAGCTCTAAAAGCGCAGCATGCATTATGTTATAGGCTATATTCACTCTATAAGTCTTGTAATAAAGCATCAATTTTAGATCACGGTTTTTTTGCTGCCGTTCGCGCAATCTCATACAGATAGGAGTATGCGATACACTTGCCTAAACCAAAAATTCCATAACTATTTTCTGAACGTTGCAAAGTCTTTGTAGTATGCTGTAACCAAGAACTTGCTCAAGCTGCACATTTGCCTAGTGAAAGAAGTAGTTCTGAAGGAGTGAGACAAATATTATTGCAACTGCCTGCGTGTCACGACAGGTGAACTCGTCAAGTTTTTGAAGTCTGTTCTGAAGCCAGAAGAGGCAGTCTCAAAATCTGAGGACGCGCTGTATTTGTAAAGGTTCGAGCAACCAAAGCCTTCTCTATCAAAGTAGCTGGCCGCTAACTAATTTGTTTTTGGTTAACAAAAGCTAAATACTGACGACAACATGACAAGAGCAAAACTGCCACTGTGCGAAGCATTTGTTGGATTAAGTAAAAACACATGTACGCTACCTTTTTATTTGTGTTTTGGAGTTGTCCATATCATAACAACATCAGCAAACTAATATGCTAGAAATAATCAGTTCTTTCAATTCGCGTCGAATTAGTGCGCGAAGCCAAAAGGAAGATTGAAGTATAAGAGAAATTTAAGTCATCTGTTGTTTAAAAAAAACTTGCAAAAACACGTGTTAGTAAAAAAATTTTAATTCTAAAGCTAGAGCACACAAAGGGCCTTAGCACTACATCCGCATAAAAAATCACAAAAGTGGCGAAATCGTACACCGACGAAACCTCTTCACGTTTTATCAAGAGTCCATTGAGCATATGCACGTAAACGTTTATTAGATCGCTCCTCACTTGAACGAGAACAAGGGATAAGCTATCCAAGTTTGAGAAGACCGAACACGAATGTTTTGGAAGAGATCAAAGTATGTAAATAAAAACTATCTAAAAAGTATGTAAATAACTTACATAATCGGGACGTTGCACAGTATGTACAGGAATCGGCACGTACCCTACCGGCCACCCTACCATACCTGGGTAGTCAGTGCCATTTTGGCTGTAAGAGTTGTTAGAGCTGTACATTCCGATGACGTTTGACATTGCCGACACTAACGTTCTATTGTAATCGGAAGAGCGAATATAAACCTGCAAACTACATTAATACAAAACTGTCAAGTACTATATGCTTGTTTTACTAGTGCACACTTCGTTTCCAAAATACTTTGTTTCCAAAGCACCTGAGTTCATCGTCGGTATACGCAAAATTGCACATTTTCGGAGGCGTTTGGATGAAAAATGTGTGTACACTGTTACCGCTAAAATGATCACCTAACGACTGAGCAAAATTTGACTTGCAGCAAACTCTGTTAACGTAAACTCTAGCGGGAACGGCCTGGATATGCAATCTATATCATGACTTCTGCTTTAGGCCCCGGGCAGAGTTCACGCGATTTGATCGTCGCGATTCAATCGCGACAAGCCAACTGTTACGAATTCATTGCATGCTGACCAGCTCGCATTTCAGTTGTGATACTTTTCAAGCCCGAAATTTTTGAATGTAAAATGAGTATGAATGGAAATCTCGGCGATTGAATCGCGAGCATCAAATCGCGTGAACTCTGTCCGAAGCCTTACGCTAAAAGAGCAGCGCTTGTTGTCTGCGAAACTGCTCTTTTAAAAAGGGTATTGAGCAGCATTCCTTCTTGAATTCATGAGTTGCAGAGGAATTCGAGAAATGTTGAGTTAATACACTGCAATAATACAAAAATAATGCACGTTCTGTATCCTACGTGGAGATTTGAGAAACATATTGCTAATTATATAAAAATATCACTGTTTTTCTATATAAAATAGAAAAAATAATGATACATGTCACGTGTTGCAGGAGTAGAATGCTGACGAAAAAAATTGCAGAGCCACAACCAATAAGATAAATCTGATCTCGCCTTTACTAATTGATCGCTTTTTGTATCCAGTATAACAGACTTATTCACAATAAGATTCACAATAAAGTTGAGGGCTTGAAGACAAAGTCCACAGTACCGAGTGGATGGCAGGTTTGCAAGGGGTTCTATCGCAAGTTGATGGTTTTTCGCGCGACAGCATGCGACCTTATGCAAGTCTTCTGCTACGTACGGGAGCGGTCCTGGTTTGATGGCAAATATATGCACTATAATAACATAGTGCAGATGGTGCACTGTGAGTGCATAGTGCAATCGACGATTCGCCCCATACTGTAAATCTAAGTTTGTCCTCGCTCTACAAAACGGTACCTAACGCTCGGCGAAAGACTTGAAAGCAAGAGAGTTATTAATGATCAAACAGTGTTAACATTTTTTGGGACACCCTGTATATTTTATTTATTTTTTTTGCATATATAGTGCTCCTAGTTAGGCTCCCAGAATCAGTTTCAGTTACGATTCCCTGGATTTTGGACGCTGACTCCAATATTTGAAAAGTGATTGGTTGCTACTTATAAAAATGTTATATGAGTCAATTATCCGACATCGTCTCTCATGTCGCAACTCTACGTACCCTATTTTCAGGTGTATAAGCCACACCCTTTTCACTCTAAAGGCGCAAACGTCAAAAGACTGCCTGTTACGATGGGGCGCGTTAGGTGAGAGCAATGTGCGAGAAAGCGACTGCTTCGCGAGGCACATGCGCAGCGGCACGCCTGGGTTTGCTCGCGTTTAGAGCAGAAAGGGTGCGGCTTATACACCTGAAAATAGGGTAAGTGGCTTACGACGTGCTCATGTATAGGGTTGGTGCAAAAGTAATGGCCGTTTTCCGAATTTTCATTGTGATTTGCTATAACTTTTTGGATCCACATATCTGAATGCGGCAACGATCATCAGAAGCAGCAAATCTTCTGCTATATAGAGCACATTTACTTATACTCACACACGAACGGGCAGGAACGGATTGAAAAACGAAAAGGTTCTTCTGCTAGGATCTTCTTTTTGACAATACATAACTTTCTTCAAAGTTCGTTAACCTGAAACCTATAAGTAACCTGTCTTGTAACTGCAAGCCAGTAACAGAAAACTAAAAAGCATTCGTACAAAAAAGTTTGCGAGAAAGAAAAAAAATCAAAATTCAAAACTTCTCACTTTTCAAAGCATTTTCATTGTGCCTCAAAGTTTCAAATATGAATTTTCCGATTTTCTACATACTATACAGCTAAATATTTTCGCAAAGACCGCTAATAAAAAGCCCTAGCTCTGCGCTTACAGAATTGAGCAAAGCTTTGGCGATTGAATTCTTCAGAAGAAAATCATGTGTCATAAAATGGCCGCAACAGCTACCCATGTTTAGGTGCCGATATCTCAGTCTGGATAGCTTCAAAGAATGCAGTTAAGTATGCATGTAGACAATTTCTATTACATACAATAGCAAAATTTTCGAAGAAATGCCATTGATGCGCGCTTGAATTTTGACCGGAAAAGTGAATGCAATGAAATTTTGAATTTGGTTGCGGTTATTTGAAGCTCAGTAACTTTATACCCGTTTCAAAAACACCATTAGATAAGGCATAAAAAAGAACTTCTCGATGGTACACTACATCTATTTCAAAAAAGAAGTATTGATGGAAAAAAAAGTTGCCCTGAAAAAAGGCTTGGAAAATTGGCCATTATTTTTGCGACAACTCATTAACTTACAATCTCTCATGTAAATGCTTTTGTCTTACAAGGAAAAATTACTCGGTGAACGTGGCCTTTGGAATGTGATGTATACTGTAAGATGCACCTCGAAATGATTTTGGACCTGTGCTCAATATCTGCGAAACGATCTTCTGAAGGAAGTTATGAACTTTCATTTGTAGAAAATTTGCGTGGTTTTACGTAGTTAAAATTACCAAAGTTGTTCCAGGTCACCGTTTGAAGTTATTGAAGAGAATCTTTATAGATATACTGTTGTATCGTACCTATTTGAATCACATTCAGCATTTGAAGGAAAGAAAATTTTTTATTGATGATTTTGACCTTCCGCAGTAGCGCAATTCATTCATGAAAAAGTAAATAACTCCATCCAGATTATCCTTTCGCAGATATGGAAGACAGTATTCAAAGCAGCATTAAAAGGCGCACTTTCCAATATACAAATTATCACGAATGGCCATGGTCACCAAGTACTCTTCCCCTGTTAGTGATGAACAGGGTACATGATCACTTTTACATACGATTCTGGCAAGTTCTCTAAGTTTGTTGACCTTGCATTACTTCGTTCTATTGAAAAAGCTCAAATAAAAATATGAGCAGCTTTTTACTTTTCTTTTTTAGATTCTATTGTACCTTTAATCTGCCTCACCATAAACAAACAAAAGAAAATTTTCTGGGATAAATATATTAGCAACAAACCTCTTCCGCATGGTATCGTCTTGATAAAAAGTGCAGATCCTCAACGTATCTTCTTCGGATCTGTTCGCCAAGCTTAAAGTGTTGCTCCATTCCCATCTAAAAAAAGGTGATAAAGAAGAAGTGTTCTTCATTTCACAGAATTTAGGTTTGGGTTACTTCTACCTTGAATAACAGGAAAAAACCGTTTAGACAAAATTTACATCACCCACATTCTGAAAATGTTCACCCGTTGAAGTTCTGCCGTTAAAGTTTGAAAAAAAAAAGGAACTACAACGTGCATTTCACTGGTTTTATTGCGTATGTACGCCCTGTCGCTGAATTTCGCAATAAGAATAGGTAGTTGAAATGCGAGAGATACTAGGGAAAATATGCGCAATATTAGGTTGTCGGATGACAAGTTTCTTCATCTTCAGTCATGCTCAACGGTTTACATTTTCACGCAAGAAATCGTGGATAGTATTTCTGGCCTCAGTATATCAGTAGTGGGACAGCATATGTTACTCATAGATTTATGCACATAGCGAAATCCATATTCACGATGGGTTTATCTTAGGTCGTCAGTTTCGTTTTTTTAAAATAAGTATAACATCCTCCAGAACAAAGATTCTAGGAAGATTTCATGCGCGTTCGGTGCAGCTTTTCATCCTCCTTCAAGAATTATTATTCCAACGCAGTTAAGCCAACGAGCTCTTGGGAAATTTTCAAAAATTGCTCTTTTTTGCTATGGTAATCACTTCACTTTTTTCAAATTTCATAACAACCTCTCGAAAAAGGCCAGGTAACGTTTGCATCGAGCAAACCCAATAAGATACAAGACTGTATAGGTTTCCTTTTCAACGGCCATTATTTTTTGGTAAAACTTTTATGAAACCACCGTATTTTACCAAAACTACCTCAGACTCGAACGCATCAGACACCGACAAATTTCCAGAACTCATCGCTGGATGTTCTGTAAGGTATGAGTTGATTGAAGGCAGTGTCCGGACAAAAAGCCGATTTTCAGATTTTGTGGTTACCCGGGCCTATTCGCTACGCTGAATCCAAGAATGCACATTGGAGAGCATGAAATCGGCGAAAAACGTTTATAACACAGGATGGAATTGGCAGGTGGACGGAGTCCTCCCCACTGTGAATTAACGCTCCCAGCTTCCGGAGCGATTTTCTCGTTTCCGGTTTCAGATGAATCATTGGCACTTGTTCGGTGTTAGGACGGCTAATGGAATCGATGAATTCACAGTGGGGAGGATCCCACTTGCTGTTTCCCTCCTGCGCTAAAGCCTTTTTGCCGTTTTCGCGCTTTCTAGTGTGGATTTTTGGATTCAGCATGGCGAATAGGCCCGTATAAGCACAAAATCTCAAAACTGAGTTTTTGCCCGGACACTGCCTTTGAGTATAAAATTTGATGCCATCAAATGAAATTCGATCAGAAAATGAAGAAGAAATATGTAAAGTAGATAACTATTTTTTGTATCATGCAAGAATTTATCGATCCATCACTTGGAAACAGAAAACTTATACGGAAGTCGGAACAGAAAACCGCAAACTAACAGAATTCACCGCGGCAAAAGCAGGATCACTCACGGCACGACATCGCGAATTGCTGATCTTTTAAGAAGACGTAGAGTTGATATCGCCTACATTCAGGAGACAAAGTGGAAAGGGGAGAAGTCGAGGGATATAGAAGACGGCTACAAACTTCTCTACAAAGGATCGAACAGCACCAGAAACGGCGTCGGTATATGGTTTCGGAAGCACTTAGAAATAAAATCACTGGCGTGGACCGAATAAGTGATCAACTTATGTGCATCAGAGTGGATACCGGAAAGAGAATCCTCCGAATCATAACCGTCTATGCACCTCAAGTGGGTTGCACGCAGATGGAGAAGGATGAATTCTGGAATCAACTTGACGATTACATAAGCTTGATACCAGAAGACGAAACGCTACTGATTGGTGCTGATCTAAACGGTCATGTCGGGGAACAACGTTGCGGTGCAAGCAAATGTCACGGAAATCACGGATACGGATCACGCAACGAAGAAGGAGAGCGTATCCTGGAGTTCGCCACGCACATGACTTGGCGCTAGCAAACACATACTTCATGAAGCCTAGCCACCTCATCACGTACGGCAGCGGAGAATGGAAATCACAAATAGACTACTGGGTTGTACGACAAGGCGAGCTCAAGTATGTGAAGAACAGCAAAGTCATACCCGGTGAAGACTGCATACCACAACATCGACCACTGATTCTGGATCTGAATATTCCAGTCGACAGGCAAAGAAGGTCGATGACAGAGCAAGTAGCACGCATCAAATGCTGGAAGCTCAGAGACAACCATGAAATTAGAGCAGCCATGGAATCCGCCCTACCACAGCTAAAAGAAGAGACAGAAGACTCCTGTAAGAATCTGAAAAACAACGTCCATCAGATTGCGACCGATCTACTTGGACGCACGAAACCAGGAAGAACAAAACTTGATAAGGAACATGGGGGTGGAATGATGACGTGCAGTTCGTGATCAAGAAGAAGAAGATAGCCTTCAGAATATGGCAGAAAGCAAAATCAGAAGAAGCGCGGCAGACATATGTAGACGCCAAACGAGCAGCCAAACGGAGTGTCAAACAAGCGAAAGAAGCTTACGTGGAGGAGTTGTACAGGAAGCTGCACAGTCACGGAGGTGAACGTAAGATCTACAGGCTAGCGAGAAGAAGAGCAAACGCCTCAAAAGACGTGGAGCACTTCTGCAATATCAAAGATGTAGACGGAAGAATGCTGAGGAAACCTGAAGAGATAAGCAAGAAATGGAGAGAGCACTTTGCAGAAACGGCATCTACAAGCTACGAATACTCATCAACTGCAGCGGCTGAAGCTGTACATGGACCAGTAACGGCCATTACGGAAGATGAAGTGCGAATCGCCATAACGAAAACAAAGAACAGCAAGGCAACAGGTCCAGACGACATCCCGGGCGAGTTCTGAAAGAAGTGCGGACAATCAGGAGTTACGTGGCTGACACGACTGCTGAATCGAGTAGTAGACTCCAGAAAGATGCCAAGCGACTGGTGTAGGAGCACGACGATTCCGATATGGAAGAATAAAGGCGATATAGCTGACTGTTCTAACCGGCCTATACGACTGATGAGCCACACGTAAGGATACTAAAGACGAGGCTCCGAAACATCGTAGAATTGGCATCCAATCAATGTGGATTCGTGAAAGGTTGCAGCACATTAGACGCCATCCACACCGCCAGAATAATGATGGAGAGAAGCAGGGAAAGACAATGTGAGCTGCACACAGCGTTATTCGATCTGGAGAAGACCTTCGACAAGGTGCCGCACGACATCATATGGTGGTCGCTACGAAAGCATATGGTCCCAGAAGATTATGTGCAGTGGACTCAGATGATCTACAAGAATGCAAACAGCTACGTACAGTCAGCAGCAGGAAGATCGGAGGAATTCCAGATAAAAGCAGGTGTGCATCAAGGATCTGTACTGTCGCCACTACTCTTCATCACAGTCATGGATGCGATAACCAGTAGATTCATACGTCAACCACCATGGGCTGTGATATATGCAGATGACGTGATTCTGATGGCACGAAGCAGGAAAGAGCTAGAAGACGATGTGCAGATGTGAAAGACTCAGTTGGAACAGCATGGCTTACGACTCAACACAGTAAAGACGGAGTACATGGAGCTTGGAGCCCAGACCCCTGGAACCATCCGAATCAACAACACGACGATCAAGAATACTACCACGTTCAAATATCTAGGAAGTCGAATCACAGCAGATGAAAGCGTCCACGAAGAGATACTTGGTAGAATCAACGCGGCTTGGTCAAAGTGGAGAAGCCTCAGAGGAGTCCTATGCGACAGAAGAGTACCTCGGAAGCTCAAGTCCCAGATATACCGTACCATAGTCCGTCCAACTGCCCTCTAAGATAGCGAATGCTGGCCGAGTACGCGAAACGACGAACGAAGACTTGGTGTAATGAAGACGAGAATGCTGCGATGGTCCACTGGAGTCACCATGCTAGATCATGTCTTGAACGACACCATCAGAAATACAATGAAGGTTGCTCCGATCATCAAGAAGCTACAAGAGAAGCGCCTACGATGGTACGGACATGTAATTAGAAGAGAAGAAAGCCATATGACAAGACTCGCCATGTTGCTGAATGTTCCCGGGAAGAGGCCAAGAGGCAGACCTAGAATGAGATGGATGGACAAGATCAAATCAGACCTAAGAGAGCTTGGCTTAGATGAGAACCAAACATCGATCCGAGAAGAATGGAAGAGACTAACAAGAGTAGCAGACTCCGTGTGAACGGGAAGATGCAAGGATAAAAAAATCTAATTAAATGTAGGGAATATCAATAGGAATTAGGAAATATCAAAAATTGGACACACTTCGTCTGGACGGCACAAGAGCAGACAAGAAAATTTATCAAAGAAAACAGAAGAGCAAAAATAGTAGAATATGAGAGGTGATGAGTGAACCCTGCACTGAACAATAGAACTGTAGAACGATAGAACTGACTGAGGCTATGAATGAGCGCCTTTTATAGCGCTCAATTCCCACGCACGCTGAGGTTGCGATCAACTACGCGAGGCAGATCACTATGAGGAACAACGATCTTAACGATTACTAACACACCTCCCCCAGTAAGGTAGTTACAGAAAATTAGCCTACGACAAAACCATGAACTACAAGTATGAACGACTAAGAAATCAGTCATACATAGACATCACCATCATTCAAACCTAAAAAAACCAACGAAACAAACATACATAACCTACTGTGAACTAGCTTGGGACCGTTGTACCGTCTTCTCGTTCTGCTCGATCTCCGAAGCCCTGTCGGTGGCGTGGAGGGCTCGTGGCTTGATGTCGACGTCAATGTCGTTGAATCCACAGGTGCTGACACATCGTTTGCGATCGCTTGCTTGAACTTTCTCTAGCTACACTGCCATTCCTATGTAAGGTCTCGTCCTCGGTTAAAACACTAACAACATTTTCAGAGTTTCGGATTGTTGTTTGAGTTGCTGTTGGACTGCAAGCTGTTCGCTGTCGCTTCGATAACGCAGTT